ATGAAAAAAATTCGCGAGCTACTGGAGCCATTCGCAAAGAAGTGGAGTATTTTGTTCTTCACAAAGGAGCAGACGATGATGCTGGAGGACCACTTCCTGAAGGCCCCCTTTCCATCCCACTTTACCCTGCTGACCCTGGCCTTCCGCCTCGGCCTAAAAGAGACCTGCGACACGTGCAGCATTGGTTTTTTGAGCAGCAGTGGATTAAATTCCCCTCCTCCAGGCGCTCACGCTCCTCCCCCGGCACATGGGTCACATTTCCTTCCGCGGAAGGTGCCGGCTCCCCGCAGCCCAAGAAGCCCCGGAAGCTCCTGCGTTCAGTGCCAGGCCCCTGAGAACCTGGAGTGCCCTGGAGAGTGAGCCGGGAGCAGCCCTTCCCAAGGGGCCCTGCGTCCTGGGGGTACAGGGCGAGAAGCCAGAAGCCGCCTTGAAGAACCTTGCACATGACCTTCCAGACGTCCTTGAAGAGGAAGACAAATGAGATCCAAGAGATTTCTGAGTGGGTGGGGGTTCTGCACCTTCCCCATCCCACAGGTCCTCACTCTGGCCACTCTCCATCTCTTGTTACCCCCACCTGTCCTTTGAGTCACTAGGAGTGTGTCTGGGTCTCTAGGAGTGGAATGGGTGTTCCTGGGTGCACCTCCTTCCCTTTATGCTTCCCCGCACCCTGCAGAAGGTGAGGCTGTGACCACCTGCTGGCTTGTGTCCTAACCACGTTGTCCCTCATGAATAAAGTCCCATAATAAAGGAAAAATAAAATAAAAATCAAATGTTTAAAGGCTCTAAATAAAAACAGTAAGTTCCTTTTCTGCATCCATTTTTAGATATTTAAGCAACTCTGACTTTGGACTGTCCTCAGTATTTTTAATTACTTGATTTTTCAGCTGTAGATGGACGCAGTCCCTTTATTTTATTTCTATGTGGTGCTGAGGATGGAACCTCGTGCCCCACACATGCTAGGCAAGCGTTCTACCGCTGAGCCCCAGCCCCTCAGCCTTTTATTCATCAATTTGAGACGTTGTTTAAAATTTCTTACTATGCTATTGAGAATTTTGTCTGCCTTTCTTCTTACCACATCCTTAACTCACAATGGATATAAGTATGAATATGCAATGTAGTTCTCACAAACTTTGGTTAGGTACATTCAGTGTTTCATTGTAATAACAGTCTTTCCTACTGAGCCAAAGAGGATTCTTTGTTCGATTTCTTTTTTTTTTGGTTTGTTTTTTAACAATCACTTTTGGGGGGCTGAAGTTGTGGATTAGAGTGCTTGCCTAGCACATGGGAGGCACTGGGTTCGATCTTCAGCACCACATAAAAATAAATAAAATAAAAGTATTGTGTCCCCCTACGACTTAAAAAAAAATGCTTTTTTAAAAATTACTTCTTTGAACTGGGCACAGTGGCCCACGCCTGTAATTCCAGTGGCTTGGGAGGCAGAGACAGGAGGATCTCAAGTTCAAAGATAGCCTCAGCAACAGTGAGGCAGTAAGCAACTCAGTGAGACCCTGTCTCTATAAACAAAATGCAAAATAATAATAATAATGAGGAGGAGGAGAACTGGGGATGCGGCTCAGTTTTGAGGGCTTTTTTTTTTTTGGCACTAGGGATTGAACCCAGGAGCACTTTGCCACTGAGCTACATCCCCTCTAAGTTGCTGTGGCTGGCCTCAACTTTGCTCAGCCTCTCAAGTCACTGGTTTTACAGCTGAATGGTCTTAAACCAGCATACACTTCTACTTCCCTCAAGGTCTGAGGCTAAGAGTGCCACGCACTCTTAGCGCTTCATTTTTCCTGCTTTTTCCTGCAACAGCTGACATCAGGGGATTTCTCTTGACGTCCTGCATTTCTCATCTCAACTATGTTAAATCTTCAGTGTCCTGGAAGTGTTTCTACTCATTWTCTTGGTCAATTTTTATCTTATTACTTTCCACAAAATGGTCTAAATAATCTATATATGTTACGTTTTTTTTAAACAATTTGCATTGTTCCTTTGCAAAGTTGGAGGGACAAAAGCTCAGTGACCATTATTTTTTTAATATTGTTTTTTAGTTGTAGACAGACACCATACCTCTAATTTATTTATTTTTAATGTGGTGCTGAGGGTGGAACCCAGTGCCTCAATGTGCTAGGTGAGTGCTCTACCACTGAGCCACAACCCCAGCCAGCCACCACAAGTTACTATGGTCCTAACATTCTGCATAGAAAATTATTTTTTCATTTGAACACTGAAAACCAACAGTGCTAGATAGAAAATGAGCAGTGTTAATGGAGAAGTCTTGCTTCATGCCTATTAATGTTCCTTTGTATATAATTATGTATCACCTCTTTAGAACTGATTTCTGCAGGGATGCAGGTATAGCTCAGTGGTAGAGCACTTGCCTAGTATGTGTGTAGCACTGAAATCGAGTCTCAGCAACTCAACAGCTAAAAAAAAATAAAAGATTTATGCAAATATTTCATGGTGATAAATATTTTATTTCCAATAGTCTTTAAAAATTACCAATTTGGATCAATTCTTAGATATTGTTATTTTTAGAAATTTTCTCCATGTCTGTTTAATTCTTTCCATTTTCTCTTCTTTCTGGATCCTTGAATAATCTGGTGTTGGAATTTTGAAACTGATTGTACAATTGTCTTACCTTTTTTTTTTTTTTCCTTTTAACTCATGGCTTATTCTCATAGATCTGTTTTCTAAAGAGTTCCTTTATTTGTTTGTTTGTTGTTTATTTGTTTTTTAACCAGAAATTGTATCCAAGAGCCTCAACCACTGAGCTACATCCCCACACCTTTGTATTTTGAGACCTGGTCTCATCACTAAGTTGATAAGGCTAGCCTCAAACTTGATGTCCTCATGCTTCAGCCTCTCACATCACTGGAACCACAGACATGCACCCACCATGCTCAACCTTCTTTTACTTTTAACCCTTTTGTTATGATCTTTAATTTCCTAAAATCCATAGCTTCCTATTCTTTTTTTTCCCCCATGGGTAAATCATCTCTCTGATGAGTATTAAAATTTTAAAAATACAAATTTATACCATAATGAACACACTTGTATCCATCACCATTTTGGTAAAAAATCTTAGACATCAAATATTATCTGTAGTTATCTATTGTTTGGTAAACTGTTTCATGTTTTCAATTAGTACTATAACTAGGAAAAAAAAAAAAAGAACCTACAGAGAATGGAGGACTCAACCCACAGCACAATTCATTCTTTTTTTTWAAATTTTTTTTTATTTTTTAGTTTTCGGTGGACATAACATGTTTATTTTATTTTTATGTGGTGCTGAGGATGGAACCCAGCACCCCATGCATGCCAGGCAAGCGCGCTACCGCTTGAGCCATATCCCCAGCCCAAAGCAGGTTTTATATAGTATAAACTATCATAAGAAAAGAAGGGCAGAAATTAAATGAATATTTGTTTCAATGTCAAGACATATGTAGTGGGCTGGGGGTGTGGCTCAGCAGTAAAGCACTCGCCTCACACATGTGAGACCCTGGGTTCAATCCTCAATACCACATAAAAATAAATAAGTGAAATAAACGTTAAGAAAATGTAGCATTCATGACTCTGGTAAAATTTTCTAGTAGGGTAGCAATTAAATCATCAATTCTGCTCAGCATATGGAAGATTACTCAGGGGGACAAATTATACAACAAAGGTTTAGAACAAATAACTTTAAGATTATTTGCCTTTGTCTTAAGGTAAGACAGTGATGTTTAACAGGAAAATTACTTGTCTACTCCAAAATATTAACAACAAAATAGCAAACTGTACAGGAAATTTAATTACACAACCTTGCATTTTTGACTCCTCAGGTTTAACATTTTTTTTTTAAATAACACATGCTCCTTTCACCCAGAGCTAAGAAGTAGTCTACCTGAGAATCTAGTACAAATAATCGGATGGTGGTTCTAGAGAGACTATAAAATGACTATACTACTTGTCAGTACAAATCCTGGTGACAATTTTAAGATAGCTAAACCTTCCTGAGAGGTGACAGGGAGGGTCTACAAAATATTCTCACCTTGTCCCCCCATGGGGCCGTACCAACCTTCCTTCTTTTACCTGAACCTGCTCTTTGGCTGCAGGGAGGACACTGGTGAAACACATTCTTCTCCTGAGTAGATCAGAGAAACATCCTGATCTTGCTGCCCTACTATGTAAGTTTGTCACTTCTGGATTCACAAAATGGCAGTCATTGATGTGTCCTCTGCCTGAGCTCTCCCTACACAGGACTTTACCTGTGGCTGCATGAGAAATACTGGGGAGGAAAGAATAGTGGCTAGATTTCTGACAGCCTGGTTACAGGAACCAGTGACTTCCAAGGTTACAGTGATGGGGTTCACTCAAGAGGAGTGTATGATGCCGACTCTAAGAGAAGTCTGTACAGAGGGGCAATGTTGGAAAACTAAAAATCTCACCACAGTGGAATATCAATTACACAGACCTTCTGTGAACTCCTCCCAGATCAAGAAGACATGAGAGGGGCTGGAGCTGGGGCTGGAGCTCAGTGGTAGAGCGCTTGCCTAGCATGTGTGAGGCACTGGGTTCAATTCTCAGCACCACATAAAAATAAGCAAATAAAACCAAGGTATGCTGTCCATCTACAACTATAAAAAAAATTAAAAAGAAGACAGAAGAAGTATTGAAAAGGAGAATTCCCCAGGCCATCTGTCCACACTGGAAGATCAACTTAAAGCCAGAGGGCCAACTCCTATGCAGAATATTTTGGAAGAGAAACCATCCAATGGAGAGCAAACAGGATTCATAATGAACGAATGGTGCTCCACATTAGAAGACGGGGAATGTGTTAAGATTAGAATGGGGCTGGGGATGTGGCTCAAGTGGTAGCACGCTCGCCTGGCATGCGTGTGGCCCGGGTTCGATCCTCAGCACCACATACAGACAAAGATGCTGTGTCCGCCAAATACTGAAAAATAAATATTAAAGTTCTCTCTCCCTCTTTATTTAAAAAAAAAAAAAAGATTAGAATGCACCACAAGATCCCAGAGGGATGTTTGAGGCAAGTGACATATACCCAAAAGGAACCGTTATCTCAGGAGAGATTATGTGACTATCATGAGTTAGAAGAAAACTCTAAACTTAGATCAGAACTCATTTTTTTTTACAGAGTGTTTCCACGAGTAAACATTGCCATAAATCTTATTCAGACAGTGAACATTTGGGGACACAATTCAATTGCAAACAATTATGAGAAAGACTCTCTAAGTGAGAAGCACTGTGAAAGTCATTAATATGATCAAGCTCTGTGGATCATAAAAAATCTAAAACAGCAAGAAGAGAATGAATACACATGCGACAAACCTGGTCTGCACTTCAAACACAGTAACATGCTTTCTACACACAACAGTTTTCACATGATAGGAAACTCTCATGAACACATCAAAAAGAAGAAAACATTTTGTCATCATTTGCCCCTTAAGTAACAAGAACAGATTCATACTGGTGAGAAACAATATGAACATGATCAATGTGGAAAAGCCTTTAAAAGGAAATCCAAGCGAGGAGCGGTGGTACACACCTATAAACTCAGCAGGAAGCTGAGGCAGGAGGATCACAAATTCAAAGCTAGCCTAGTAAAAGTAAGGTACTTAGCAACTCAGTGAGACCCTGTCTCTAAATAAAATACAAAAGAGGGTTGGGGGTGTGGCTCAGTGGTCGAATGCCCCTGAGTTCAATCCCCGGTACCAAAAAAAAAAAGGAAATCTAATTTTATTTTGCACAAAAAAAAGTCACATGGGTGAGAAAAAAATATGAATGTAGAGAATGTGGGAAGGTATTCAACAACTTCTCCACCTTAAGGAGACATGTAAGAAGTCACACTGGAGAGAGACCTTATAAGAACAATCAATGTGGAAAAGCTTTCAGTCAAAAACCATCTCTTAAGGCTCATGTGAGAACTCACGAGTGTGACCTAGAGAGAGACCCTATGAGTGTGACCTGTGTGGAAAATCCTTTGGCGCAGCTCTTACCTCATAGAACACAAGAGAATGCATGCCAGGGAGACACTCTATGGGTGCAGTGACTGTGGGAAAGTCTTCAACCCCAGCTCTCACAAAATTCACAAGAAGATACACACTTGAGTGGACTTTTTTGATGCAGTGACTGGGAAAGCCAGGGGCCTCTCATCCCTCAGGATGCATAACAGGACTCACCCCAGGGAGAAGGCCTACCAAAGGAAGGAGTGTGGGGAGGTCTTACCAGTTCCTCTTCCCTGAGGAGACACGTAGGAATTCACACTGGGGAGAAACCCTACAAATGTATCCAATATGGGAAAGCTTTCAGAGCCCTTCACTTACTATACACAAGAGACTTCATGATGAGACAGAAACCCTGTATGTGTTGTGTCTGTCGTCATCTTTTTCATTGTCTAATGGTGCACTTCAAACTCATTATTTGGTCTTTCTTCTCTAAAATTAGCATTTAAGGTTAAATATGGGGCCCTGAAGACACTCCTTTGACTTTATAATACATTTTGTCCCATGTTAATATATTTGAATATTGTCTGTTTGTCATGATATTTTTGATCCTTGGCTATTTACAATTCCATATTTTTCACGTGAAGTGTTTCAGTTGCCTTTTTGAGTTCTGAGTTGCTGCACTGGTTCACAGTATCTGGAACACGTAAAGCTACTTTATTGGTGTTTTCTTGAGAGTTGCCATCAGGCCCAATAAGGCAAATATTGCTTCTGGCCTAACTGCTCATCCTTCCTAACTAATGTAGCCAAGGGTGACAACATCCTTCTTTYCTGACCAATCAGAAATAGACTAGTATCACTGGACCCGACTACTTTGTTCTTTTTGCAAAACTTTGCCTTTCTGCCTTCTTTCTTCTGCCTTCAAAGGTACCATTTTTGGAGCTGAGAGAGACATCTATCTTGTGCCCAGGAGAATGACAACTGTTGCCTAAAGATAATGTAGAAGAGCTCCTGCTTCCTCAAAACAGCTTTGAATAGCTGTGCTAGTCCTCCTCCCTGCTTATTACCAGGACTCTCTTTTTTGGGCAGTGCTTGGGATGAAACCCAGGGCCTAGGCAAGTGCTCTATCACTGAACTACATCCCCAGACCAGGACATCTTTATATGTGAGAAAAATTAAATATACTGCTTTTTTTAAAACAGTATGTGAGTGCAATCAATACAATGTGAGTGTATGTATTTGCAAAGGAATCCAAAAAGGAAGATGGAAGAGGAGTGTGGGCTGATTTTTGTGCTTAGGCAGGAGATAAAGATAGAACTGAAGTCACTTGGAAGCAAGACATCAGAGAAGCAAGGGAATTCCAAGATTTCAGCACCAGAAATCTAGGAAGTTCTCAGAGGGCAGATTACCAATGTTAAATACAAAGTGAAGCTCGAGGTTGGATTATTACCACACAACCAGCATTTACTTCACTCACTCTGAATATACTGTTGCTCTATCCMCTTATCTTTCTGCATTCAGAGTACCTTCCTGTCTCAGTGCTAAAGCTTAGTTTATTCTCCTTTTGTAGACTTGTAAAAACTTGACTGAAACACAGCAATACAGGGAGAAGTTTATAGCATCTATAAATTTTCCCAAATGGTACATACCTACTTAACCTGCCCCTACATGAACAAAGAGCCCAATCAACACCTCTCCCACTTCCCTGGTGCTGCAAGGGTACCTCACTTCCCTGGTGCTGCAAGGGTCCCCCACTCTTTACTTGGCACCCTCCTTCTTGTGCTGTCCCCATGCTTCTTTAGTTTCACTTACATGTTAAATTCCATAGGTTATTTATTGAAAACCAAATATAATTATCGGTGAGTAAACTTAATATTCATTTATATCACAGTTGACAAGTTTTCTATAAAGGTCCAGACACTATTTGAAACTTTGTAGGCTATATATATCTCTATTGCATATTCTTCATCCTTTGAAAATAAAAATTAAAAAATAAACAGACATTTAAAAATTGTAAAAACCATTCTTAATTCACAGGCCCTGATCTGGACATGGGCCACAATCCCCAACACCTGACTATATTTCACACAAGTCAGGTCCCACTGAGTAGAGAGCAGGTGGTTCCTGGATCTGAATCAGATAATGGAATATATTAGGTAAACCCTTAAATACATAAAATATTAACTTAAATAAAGTGTTTTCATGTTCTCCCTAATATTGACAGCTCAGGTAACATGATCTTCACCCTGATACAGACTACCAACTACCTTAGAAAACCAAATCCAATACTAGATACCCATCTCTATCCAGGCATTATCAGTGTTTGAGCCAGACTACAGTTTTAAGATCAATATCAGCCTCTCCTAAACGAATCTTATGCAAAGCTTTGGGACGCTTCAAAATATGTATACAAAAATGGCATAATGACAAAAGCTTCCAGAGAATGCAGCCCTTCTGATCATTCATGCAGAAGTCTAGTGGCATGTAAATAAGGCTCTCCAGGACCAGATTATTCTAGGTTTTATCTCCTAAAAAAATGACTCTGAATGTGTGAGGCACTGGATTTGATCTTCAACACCACATAAAAATAAACAAATAAAATAAAGGTATTAAAAAATGACTCTGAAATGAGATATTTATCCATTAACACCTTTTACAGATGTGCAGCTACTATAGTATCAGTGCTCGATAAAGTTACTCCTATTTACTGATTCCTTCTATGAAATTGCTTACCTTGCTGATCAAAGCAAACTTACCCTGAGGTGTGAGCTGTGCCAGCTGGGCAGCTGATCATGCCAAAAGGCTTATATATGTGCTTATGAGAAAACTGTTCTCTCTGTAAATGGAACAAAAAAGGGAAACTGCCTGGGAAATTTGCTGTGATGCATCTTCCATTTCAGACTGTCTTAGTTAGATTCAAGGATAAACAGGGGTTAGCATAACTTTAAAACCAAATTCTCTCATTGCAAAGTTAAAACCAGAAAACGCCTAATGTTTCTGTGTTTGTATGATGTTCCTATGAAAGCAGAGCACTCTTCTTGCGGATGTCAATATCGTAGTAGTTATACTTTCAGAGTCACATATGCTGTGGAAGATGAGCAGGTACAAGATTAGTTTAGTAAAAGCCAAAAGGTTTATTCATAACTTCCTCTTCTGAATTCACTTTTTTAAAAAATCCCATCTCCCCCCACCCCAAAATGAGACCCTTCCCCACACTGATTCCACCCAAGATGACTGCTCATTAGAGTAGTTTTTCAACATGATTCCCTCATCTGAGCTTCAGATACTGCCTTCTCTCCTTCAAGAGTATTTAAAATTTTAATAAATAGTGCATGGAAAATATAGGAATTCCCAAGCACTGTGTTTCTATGCATCACTTCATTTATGTACTTTCTGATGTCCAAAGTACCCTTTTCTAAAGCTCTTTCTTACCATGCATCTGTCCTGGCTGAACTAACAGATTAAGAGTAAGGACTGATATCTCAAATAAAAGTTTCCTCATATCTTAATAGTAAGGAATTTACAAAAGTAGAGTGAGAGACTCCTACCAAATGAAGAGTATTCTCAGTGTTATAAGAACAATTTCCTCAATAGTGATTTTGTCTTCTGATAGAGAATGAGCAGCTAGAATGGCTTTCCCACAGATTTTGGGACTCTTCCGCAGGATTTTGAATAAGGTGTGGATCACATCTTTACATTTACACAAGGCTTCTTTCGGAGAGTTGTCTGAAGGGAAAGTGAGGCATTACCTTTTGCTGTTTACTGATGAATTTGTTCTTAGGTTTTCTTTATAGTGTGTTCAGCAAGAAAAGAGTGATAATTAAATGACTTTTCATAAACATAGGGGTTGTCCAGTGAGTGTGTTCTCTGGTGCTTAGCAAGGTTTGAACTCCAGCTGAAGGATTTGTTGCACACTTTGCAAACAAAAGGCTTCTCTCCAGTGTGAGTCACCTGGTGCAGAATGAGGGAGAAGCTCCTGCTGAAGGCTTTGTTGCACTCAGCACAGGTGTAGGGCTTCTCTCCAGTGTGGGTCTTCGTGTGCTGCGTGAGAGACGCATGCCAAGTGAAGACTTTTCCACATTCGTCGCATTCGTAGAGCTTTTCTCCAGCATGGACTCTCTGGTGTTTTGTGAGGAACGAGTGGCAACGGAACGCCTTCTGACACTCAGGGCACTCGTAGGGGGTCTTGGTCGTGTGGATGCTGTGATGTCGAGTGAGGTGTGAGGAGCGCCGGAACGCCTTCCCACACTCGGTGCACTCGTAAGGCTTCTCTGCAGTGTGTGTCACCTGATGGCGAATAAGTTCAGAGCCACTGCTGAAGGCCCTCCCACATTTCCTACAAACATACTGCTTCTTCCCTATGTGAATCCTCTGATGTCGGGTGAGATTGGAAGCACGGCTGAAGGCCTTTCCACACTCAGTACATTCGTAGGGTTTCTCCCCAGTATGTGTTCTCTGGTGCTCAACAAGGAAGGAAAGGTAACTAAAGGTTTTATTGCAGTCCTTACACTTGTGGGGTTTCTTCCCTGTGTGTATCATCTGATGTTTCACCAGGTTTGAAATCTGGCTAAAGGTTTTGCCACATTCCTTACACACATACGGTTTCTCTCCAGTGTGAGTTCTCTGATGTAACACGAGGGAAAACCGCCGACTGAATGTCTTCCCACACTCGCGGCATCCATAGGGCCTTTCTACCGCACAGATACWCACGTGTCGAGGCAGAGCTTCTTGGTGAAGGTCTGCCACTTTCGCAGTACATCCCCGATTTCCTTGAAGTGTGTCAGGACCACCCTTGCATTTCCAGGTTCCTTTAATGCTGGAATACATGGGACCTTGGCTTAGTATTCTTCCCATTATCAAATACTGGGATGAGTCATCATGAATAACATCTTCTGGAGAAACTTCTTGGATCTCAACACTTGACTCTGACACTGAAAGATACAAAAAAAAAAAAAAAAGCAAATAAGGCAATTTTTTCCCTTGTATTAAGTAAATTTAAAAGCCATTCCTTTTATTTACTTACTTACTTTTTTTGAGACAGGGTCTCACTAGGTTACCCAAGCTGGAAATGACTCATGATCCTGCCTCAGCCACCCAAGTGGCTGAGATAGCAGGCCAGACTTGGCTTTTTCTCACCACCATTGCCCCACCTTTTTTTTAAAAATATTTTTTAGTTGTAGATGGACACAATACCTTTATTTCATTTGTTTTTATTTTATGTGGTGCTGGGGATCAAATTCAGAGCCTCACACATGCTAGGCAAGTATTCTACCACTGAGCTACAGCCCCAGCCCCTTCTATTTTTTATTTTGAGACAGGGTCTCACTAAGTTGCCAAGGCTGGCCTCAAACCTGCAATCCTGTCCTAGATTTCTGAGTTGCTGGGATCACATATGTGTCACCACACCCAACTCTGCCATTCCTCCCTTTTTGATGAGAGAATTGGGGGGAAATTAAAAATAAAATTTAGCAATTCCACGGCTTTCATAGCTGCTATCTTTAGCTGTGAAGTCTGAGCAGTGTGCCCAGTAATCAGAAGAGACAAGGTTAAGAGAGATATGGACACACAGGAGGAAAGACCACATGTAAGTAACGAAGGAGAGGGGGACAAAGACACAATCATCCAGGAGACAGATGGTCATGAAGGACAGGAGCTCATGTTCAGGTCTCTGTTCAAACTGCACTGGTTGCCAGAATGATCTGAAAGTGGCAAGTCCATGATGCTGCTAATGAACACTGCAGGTGTTCTTCAGGTCCCACAAGACATCCAACTATGGGCTGAGTGCTGTTTGGAACATCATACAATACCTGGGCCAAGTGGGAGGAAAGAAAAGGTTTCTCTAAGAACTGCGCACCGACTCAGCCTTCTGTGCGGACAGGAGGCTCAGCATTGGCGCAGCTATCTTCCCATCCAATACCTTTCACAGTCAGACAAGGCTTTGATTTCCTCAAGCCTGAATTTTAGGAAGTGACTTCATTTTTCATTTGGAACAAAATTTTATAATATAAAACTGTGATTTATGTTCTTTGTGATCCTAGGGATGGAACCCAGGATGCTTTACCACTGAGTAGTACCCTAGTTCTTYTTATCTTTTTTTTAATATTCATTTTTTGTAGTTGTAGTTGGACACAATAACTTTATTATTTATTTATTTATTATTTTTATGTGGTGCTGAGGATCGAACCCAGGGCCTTGCACGTGCAAGGCGAGCGTTCTACTGCTGAGCCATAACCCCAGCCCCCTTTTTATCTTTTGAGACATGTTCTAGTCAGCTATTTTGCTGCTGTGACACAAAGATCTGACTAGAATAGTTGTAGAAGAGGAAAAGTTTATTTGAGGGTTCCCAGTTTCAAAGGTTTTAGTCTAAAGAAGGCAAGCTTCATTCCTTGGAGCTCAAGGTGAGGCAGAACATCATGGCAGAAGAGTGTGGCAGATGGAAGCAGCTCACATGGTGATCAGGAAGCAGAGCGAGACTCCACTCTCCAGAAACAAAATATACACCCCACAGCCACAACCCCAACGAACCACTTCCTCCAGCCATACCCTACCCGCCTCCAGTTACCACTCAGTTATTCCCATCAGGGATCAATTCACTGATTAGGGTAAGACTCTCACACCCCGATCATTTCTCCTCTGATCCTTCTTGCATTGTGTCACACATGAGATTTTGTAGGACACCTCATATGCAAACCATAACAAGACAGGATTTTCATTACATTGCCCACACTGGCCTTGAACTCACAATTCTCCTGTCTCAGCCTCTAAGCTTCTGGAACTACAGATATGCACCACCAAGTTCAGCTGAAGGGGTTTTTAAAAAAATATATTCAAATCCTCACTAGGCAGGTGGTGCATGCCTGTAATCCCAGTGACTCGGGAGGCTRAGGCAGGAAGATCACAAGTTCAAGACCAGCTTTAGCTACTTAGTGAAACCCTGTCTCAACATAAAAAACAAAAAGGACTGAGGATGTGGTTCAGTGGTTAAGCACCCCTAGGTTGAGTCCCCAGTACCAAAATAAATATAAGTGTGTGCGTGTGTGTGTGTGTGTTTTCAAATCTTTATTCTTAGGAAATACACAAGTATGTAAGGGTAAAATACCATGATATGTATAATTTATTCTCAAATGTTTCAGGAAAAAATGTAAACCAAATGATAAGGCAAATGTGGCAACATGTGAGCCGTGTAGGTAAAGGGCATGTGGGTATTCTTTGTGTTATTCTTACAACTTTTCTGTAAGTTTAACATTATTTCTCAATAACACATTTAAAAATTCACTATTCTCCTGGGCTGAGAATCTAGCTCAGGGGTAGACTACTTGCCTATCATGCATGAGACCCTGGGCTCTACCCCAACACCACAAAAAATAAAACCAATTCATTTTTCTTTCTAACATAGTTGACACATTTTGAGGGGGAAGGAATGCTATTCCATATTATCACTGTTAACTTTTAGAGAAAAGTAAATAGACCTTATGCCTTTCGCGGGGGAGGTTACCTGGTATTGAATTCAGGGGCGCTCAACCACTGAGCCATATTCTCAGCCTACTTTGTATTTTATTTAGAAACTGGGTCTCACTGAGTTGCTTAGTGCCTCACCATTGCTGAGGCTGATTTGAACTCGAGATCATCCTGCCTCAGCCTCCTGAGCCGCTAGGATTACAGGCATGTGCCTCTGCACCCAGCAACCTTGTATCTTTAATGTCTGTTTTAGTAATGAATCAACATCTGTACCTATGCTGTACACACACAGAAATACAGGATGATTACAAGAGGGGAGACAGCAAAATAGCTTCTGGAATAATGATCTCAATTAAGAAAAAAGTAAATTCCTTTCCTGCCGCTTTCATAAGCCAATTACATGTCTACTGAGTATCTGTGTAAGAGCCGTGGGGTTACTGACAAATTTTCTTCAGAAGCTGTGAGTATCAGTAAAGAGAACACAGAAGAAAACATTAGCTAATGATATAAGAAAAGAATATGTTCATTATATTTAGAGTAAAAATCATTTAAAAAAAAGATGAAGCATGAAAATCTATGCCACAAAAAAGAAAGGCTTCATCAAGGAGACTAGTTAGAGCTGAAATCCCTAAATAAATCTGCACATTTAACGATACTGGAAAAAGCTGCGTTAATTACATGGATCTAGGATCATTTTTGCCTATGAGTCCCCAAAAAAATGAGTAAAAAAACACAACCAAGACAACCAGGTTTAAGATATTAACATACAAACTACATGTGGTAGCACACAACTGTAGTCCCAGCTACTCAGGAGGCCCTAGCAGGAGGATCTCCAATCCCAGGCCAGCCTGGGCAACTAAGCAAAATCCTGTCTTGCTGGAAGCCAGGCATGAATTATGGGTCTGTTGAGCCAACACATGGCAGGGAGGCCACTTTTCTGGGGACTCCTGGTTCGAGAAAGCCCAGGTCATGCTGGTGCTCTGCCTCAGCTCCAAGCCCTAGGTTCAAATGCAGCTGCCAGAGATGGTATAATCAGCCACCAAACAACTTGTCTTCCCATTCCCACCCKGTCTTCCTCGAGAAGCCTGCCACATGGAAACTTCTGATGTACTTCCCCTTAAATAAAGGATCTTAAATAAAGGATTATTCAGTTCCAGTTCCTCTCAGGGCTGGAAGACCCACCAGGTACCACGCCTTTAAATCTAATTTCTGGGTTTTTTGTTTTTGGGGGGTTTTTTGCTACAAATAGAAAACTAGAAATTTATTGGTGAACTTACACTATTACCAAGGAGAGTGAGGGTGGGAGGAGCCAGGCTTTTTAAAAAGTGTCTGTTGTCTTTTATTCCTTACTGATTTTTTTCAGACTTTTTATTTTCCCAGACAGTATACATTTCCAAGTAGTAATCTGCTCTACTGGGGTGCTAGTAACCTCAGCACTGCCTCAAGAAATAGAAAACAGCTGTGAAAGTAGCCCAGTGGCAAAGAGCCCTGGATTCAATCCCTAGTACGGGGGCAAAGCAAGAGGGTATCAAAGAAAAAGAGAATATAGAAAGAAAAACCATGCGAACACTGACCAAAAGAAGGAAAGAGTGGTTACAATAATTTCAGACAAAGCAGACATCTAAAGAAGAGCACTGCATGAGGAGAGTCCTCAAGGCTGGGGTGTAGATCAGTGGCAAAACATTTATCAAAAATGTATGAGGGGAGATCCAACACAGCAGCGGGCACGGAGAGATCAAGTCTCTGACCTCTTCAGCTGCACGAGCATAGGGAGTCTTAAACCATCTAAATGCTGTTTGCTCAGGAGCACTAGGCAATGCTGAGCTGATGTGGATCTGGGGCGAACAATCTGGGCCTCTCAGAACACACACCAAGCCTGGAGTGGCTGAATTCAGGCTCCCGATTGCCTGCGTCTTGCAGACAAACTGCTGAGACTCAGCACTAAACGATCCCGATCCCGCTGAAACAACTTGTTGGCTTTTCCTGATCCTGCTGAGGTTAATACCAACCGAGCCTCCTTAGGCAGTGGCCACAGGATTGAGACAGGGCTGGGGAGAGCCGGTCAGGACCGACCCGTTGCATCAGTCAGCCAGCAAAGGGAATGAACTGTCGCCATTCGCATGGAATATCACCATGGCAGAGAACTGACGTCACCAGAATGCGGCAGAGGAGTTAACTTCATTGAAACCAGCGGCGGCAGGTGTGTAACCCCCTAACCCCCCCCTCCACACAGCAGGGAAACCACAAGGGACCCTCCCAGCTCTCCTGTGAGCGCAATAGTCAGACCGAGGGGACCCCCAGCTATCGCTCCCACCAGCACTGACAACTGAGGTCTCTTGCACTAGCTACCGGAGGCGTGGTTACTGGAGGGCAAGCAAAATACACTGAGGGTTCTCAGCCCCAAGCTCCACAACCTTAGAGTCTGAGGGACTGGCAAACACGGAGAGTGTGCCCAGCCGTTCAAGAAAATAGG